CATACATAGAATTCATAGTTTATAAAGCATCATCACGTTGTTTAATATGAACAAATCCATAATCTTTTAATTTTTTCACACGTTCAATTGAATTTGGTTTAAATTGTTCAAATACTTCTTTTATTTATTCTTCAGTTGTACTCATCATTAAATTTCTTACATAAAGAACTCGAACTTAAATTAAAATTCAAATAATCGGAAATAAAAAATAAAAAAATTCTTTTACATCTGCCATAATATCTTCATCAACTTTGATTTTCTGGTTCAGTGCAATCAACAGCGCTTTGTTATCCGCATAATTGAATAATTCTTGATAATAATTTTCTTCTTGTCATTGCTGCTGATTTATGACTTTCATATTCAACAAAAGCAAAACCACGGGGTTTTTTTATCATTTGCACTTGGATAAACAATAAATTTCATCAACACCTTTAGTTACTTTACACATTTCTTCAAGTAATTCTTCACGTTTTCTTTTTTGATATACCACCAACAAATAAACGACAATTATCAACTGATTGACATGCACCAATTAAATGATTTGGACGTGTTTCATAATTATTTAATTCTTTAATACAATGTTTAGCATCATCACGATTTGCATATGTTATAAATGCATAACCACGATTACAATCTGAAAAGTTCATTATTAAACGCATTTCATATATTTGTCCACAACGTTCAAATAATGGAAATAATTCGAATTCAAAACAATAACGTGGTAATTTACCAACAAATACTTCATAACCACGACCTGATGGATGACGTGTTGTCGGCAAATTTGATGGGAATACATGAGAATTTGTTAATTCTTCTTTTGAATCAATTGAAGGATTATTTATTGTTGCCTGATCATCAAGATTTGTTGAAGAATATTCGAGATCCATTGATTAACTAAAACATAAATAATGTCGAAATCTTTCCAAAAAAATGTATGCCATATGCTCTTGCTTTTTTTTTCAATTCTATGTTGAAACACTAAAACAAAAGGAAAGGTGCTCTTATAATCTTTCTCTTTTAGGATTTTTTTTTTATTCATCATTTTTCAACATTAAGAGAGATAGAGATGTAGTAGTTTCTCTTCTATTAAAGCAGCAATTCTCTTCATTTTTATTTG